CAGCTTCGTTGGTAAAAATTAATATTATTTCTACATAAAACCTTTTAACTCCCAATTCACCCTTACAACGTTTTAATTTTATATAATATTGTCATTTTAGACTTCAAATACAAACGTAGCAACAACATTTCATCCTTAAGGATTGATTTTTAAAAATTTCCAAAACACGTATTTCGTTGATTTCAATAATGAGCAACCTTCGAGTAAATCCGAGTACAAATAAAATATACCCCATGGAAACGTTGCAACCTCTTTTCCTTTGTTTAATAATATGAAACAGAATATATATACCAACTTTCAAGTAAATTCAACCACAAATAAAGTATGTCCCAAACAAAAATTGGAACACCTTTTTACCCCTCCCCCCTTTGGAGGTTGAATTTTTTCAAATGTCGAGATAGGTCCTGAGATGAGAGACCATTAAGACCAAGTTTCAAGTAAATCTGACGACAAATGATACATGTTTCATTTAAACATTGCAACTCCTCTTCACCACTTCTCCCCCCCACATGGTAAATGGATAAAAAGTATCCTATGTAACTAACACTTTCTTTTATATATTTAGATTTAATATTCACAAATCCAACGCGTTTCGACATATAAGTAACTCTCAAAGTGTCATTACAAGCTAATTGAAAAAAATATCATTATTACTACTTCCAACCAAAATCTGAATTAAAAACTCCCATTAAATTGCCCCTTTTAATACCACGAGTTACAAAAAATTTTCACCAGAACTTCCCCAATTCTCTTGAGGCAGAAGCTAATCTAACTTCTTCATTAAAACTTCCAAACTGATTTTAATCGTTGATATCTCCTAGAAGGCATATAAAGAATTTTCTTATACTTTTAATGCGACCATGTTACTGCAGAGATTTTAAAATTAGCAAAAATTGCTCTTATTTTTACGTACTTCTTGTGCTCTTTTTCATGAACTTAATATTGCATTTCCTATTAATTTATTAAATTTGCTTGCTTCAAAATATGTAAAGAATAAAATGGACAGATGATATAAATTTAGTGGCAAAAGTTGTGAATAGAGCAAAGAAAACTTCTCAAAAAAAAAACGCAAAATTTGATTGAAAAAATCTTCAAATTATTCCGACATCTAGAAGATTTTTACTAACTGGCATTATCCCTAACGTGATTTCTCTTGTTCCTAGATATTCTTTAAAATAAACTACTAAATGTAATGGAAGTCGGAAGACCTTTTCATTAATTAATACAGGGATTATTATCGGTGGGAACGGAGAGAGAAAGTTAGGATGAACGAATTGAAGACAGAAAAGAAATAAAAGGTTATCTGTGGAGGATTGTTACTACCCTAGATCCCAAAAAAACTACAGAAAAACTTGTACCAGAGCAGATGGACTCGGAATCGTATACTAGTTCGCTGTTATCCAAAACATCCGTATATTAATTTTCCTCTAGTAGCATTATTGATAGAAACAATATGTATTCTGTCTTTCATGTAGCCTTATTTTGCAATGGTTAAATAAGAGAGACCGTATGTCTAGGTTCGTACACTTTTAACAGTGTACCGTCATCCCTACCTCAATAATTTTACTGGATTTAGTTTTAATATGATTTGAAAATAAAACGTTTTTTACTGCCGATTTTTACTTTAGAGGCTTATTTTAATTTGGTTGTAATACTGGAAGCAATTGAAATGATAACAGATGCCTAGTCGGTAGATCGGAATGTTTGGTTCTATCATTTTCAATCCAGTAGAATATACTTTTATCAAGCCGAAAAGCGTTCACATTCCACTCATTAATTCCATTTCATTTTAACAACGTGAGAAGAACAAATGGACTGCACAGTCTGCAATTCAATATTTTCCTGTTAATCCGGGATTTGCATGAAATTTATAGCCAAACATTTGTAGTACAAAATTTATTGTGCTAGCATTAAAAGTTTCATTTTAGATGGATAAACGGGGTTTTGCAACTGACATGGCCAGTTAAAAGCTATTTATGACCCCACGGCTTTGACATTAATTTTTGATTCTGTCGACGTAGGTATGTATGTAAAAAATCCATTGATTGACCAATAGATTATGTTGGAAGGAATTGAAATACAGAATGACATGATATTTTACATATCCTATACGTATTTCAAATACACCGTAACAAGTATTTTTAATGCCAATAGTCACTTCATACATTAATAATAAGTAGATAGGTACACCATATTCCCAAAAATATGACCTGCTGGAATTAAATGCTCCTTCAGAATCCACATATAATAAGGAAGGCGTAATGTTTTCATTGTTATGTTGGTTTAAACTGGCATTTATTGTCCAAATTACTGATCAGATAAAACAAGCAATATTTTTCAAGAATCAATAAAATTAATAATGCACATTATACACACAATCATTATATCCTTTCAATGACTGATACGTACTTTTATTCATATGATTTGATCCTCGCTGATTTTTATATTTTTTACACTGCTATAGAAAAGTTACAAATCGAACGAGTCGTCTTTTTGATGTGAAGCAAATTTTCACTGGATATATATACAGCTAAGGAAATAGTTTTCCTACACTATGTCGTATTTTTTAAGAGATAATGTCGCATTTTGATGTAGAACTACCCTCTGTCAGATTCTTAATTCTTTACGTAGTAGATGTAGGGAGGAAGAAGTGCATTCTACAGCTACAACTACTTGATTTATAGATCACTAGTGACCCGCCCCAGCTTCGCACGGGTGTAATGCTGATACTAAATATATTTTTGTTTTGTTTAGATTATTATCGAGAAGAGAAATCTTCAAAAGATACCCCCTGAACATACTAAATATACTACAGAATGTCTTTATATACAACATTCACAGTTTTTTTGTCATTAAACAATGCAAACCGACTTCCCGTCCGGTACCGCCGCAACCGCTATGTCCCTGCATTTTAAATCTGTAATATCTTCGAAAATATTCATTTAAATTACATGCTGTAAAGGGACATATTGATCTATATTAAATGCACAATGTATTTAAAGTACTTAATTGGATAAGAATTATTGCTGTATTGCCTACAATCGCTTCGTAAATAAGTCATTATTTCTCATAAAAAGTAAAGGATAAAAATGGTTATTGTGGGTTATCCCTAAGAGATAGACATATACCATCGCGGACTTTTTTGTAGACCCTTTTAAGATGTACAATATTGTAGTACATTATTTTGATCTATCTCGTAGGGTTCAGCCAGCGTTTGCAATGTAAGCGCAAAAAATGTGTTTATTTACGACATCACATTAGAAACCTCTAAAATTATCAGTGTTTTCCTACTATATTATGCATGTATTATACATATAAACCTTTCTCTTGAATCACTCTATCTTTTAAAAAAAACCGTATCAAAATCCGTTGCGTAGTTTTAAAGATTTAAGCATACATAGGGACAGACAGCGGGAAATCGACTTTGTTTTATACTATGTAGTGATGTACAGCACGAGACACTGTGATACACTGCACGCTGTAGAATGAAATTATTTTATTACGTTAGATAATACACATCATTGGCGACTATTTTTTTTACATAACTGTTTGTCCTGGGTGATGTTCAGCTGAATTTGAAGTTAATTTTGTTTAGAATCCCTTATTTATGCAGATAGTAGGTACAAGTAAGGTAACATAAGTGGACATGTATAGTAATAGGTAGGGTTGCGCACGTATTTCGAATACTAAGTGGACTAACCAAGGGTAAGTAATTAAATCAAAACACAAGTCCATCCGTTGTCCAACACATCTCGACCGTCTTCAGCTTCTGTAATGAAATTTCAACCGACACAGAGTACAGTACAAGGCTCCTTCCCCTTTTTTTCTCTAATGAACGTAACCGCTTAATCAAATGGCGTTCAGCATTAAATTGAATTCCGTTCCAGCTGACCGTAATACCTACTAGAAGCCGAACTCTCTACTGCTATGTCATGTATCCATGGTCCCGCACGTCTGATTCCGGGAATTATGGCCGGGATACCCCGATTCGACAACCGTTAAGGCGTCATTTAAAGGAATTACTGATACGAATCGCTCTTGTCTCTGACGATACCGTCGTGCATCATAGTGATACTTAGTAATGTAAATAAAAAAATATGGAAAAAGATTTTATTTTCCCGCTTTCTTTTTCCATCTAATCATATTTTTCTTCCAGTAAAATATAGTAGTAATTACTGCTAGATTTATAAGAGAATATTTTTTAAACATCGCGACGAAAACGTGCTAACCATTCAAAGAATTACCGGGAAAGCGACAGTGGTTGTTATATAAAGAAAATAAGTACTACATAAAACTGACGGGTGGCTTAAATTGTATCTGTGAGCTTGAAGAAAAATCATATTTTATTATCGATAAGGTTATTAATTAGAGGAAGAAGCTATGAAGGCTTTTCAGAAAAACAGACAAATGATGCTATTCCTACATCATCCTTGTGGTACTATTTTTAAAGACTTTTGACTAGAAAAAGCAACTACAGTATTTTCTTGACGATACAACGCCAAGAAGTAGTTTAAAGTAAACGTATATTTCAAAATAAAAATTTTCAAAACTTAGTATGTTTGTTAGGCACACACTAATCCCTTCCATTTCCGAGGCTTAAAAACTTTTCCAACCGAAGTTCTTATTAAAACTTCTGTAACTTCTCGAAATACCTTTCCAATACATCGTTTATTTTGCCCTTCCTTCGAATGTAAAGTTCCTGTTTATTCGCACTTTCGAATTTGCTACGTGAGAATGTTTTTAGCCGGAGGATATAAGAAGATTTAAAATGATTTCAAGCGAACTAGAAGGGAATGCGCACCAAATCATCTTTCAGTATCCGTTCGACTGTAGGTGAATATACATATACATTATATATACACGTGCATTTATGAAAAAGAAATCTTGTACATGTTAGTATATAAACTTTATAACTTCAGCTTTGCTTGAATAAATTTAGAAAGGAACTTGCTACAAAGTTAGGTACATTGTAAATAGAGAATGCTGACTTACTTGCATAACGCTGCTTCATTTCCAAACTTTAACTTGAAAGTCTTGAAAATCACTGAAAGATGAAATCTGAAAAGAAAATAAAAAATTTATGATTACAACTGCAGGTATTTAAAAGAATACTTAAAATAAACAGCGCCTATGTTAATTTCTACTATTAATATTTATCTTAATGTATCGACAAATTATTGAAATTGACTCCTATAATTTCTAAAATACTCGAACTCATTGAAGGAGAGTCGATTCTGGGCAACAACTGTCATCAAACTCGAATACTGAGACTCGAGTCTCTCGTTCAAAGACTGGATACGAAATGAGGATCTCTCTATGAGCGACTCGAGTCTCTCGTTCAGAGACGCTTAATAGTTTTTTGACACGATCTCTCAGCGACACCATGGAGACGCGATGAGAGACGGTCCTCGAGTCTCGCTTCAGAGATTCTATCTCGGGATAACCATAGATTCTTGTACTAATACCTACTAAAATCCTGCCGAAGTCTAATTATTAGAAACCATTGTTTTCTGCATGTACTTAATGTCAGTTTTATATAAAAATCTCGTATATTATTTAGAAACAATAATAAATTTTATTAATATTGATTCAAAAGGTCGCCGTGCACTTACAGGTTTATCTCGCCTAATTCTATCTATTTTTATTTATGTTAGATTTGAATTTCAACATGTTTCCGTGCATTTCCGAGGAGATGATACTACCGTTGTTTACGGCAAGTTCGGGAGCTGCAATTTTTGCATTTTAAATTGGAATCCCATTTGCAAGAATTTATCCCTTACGGATTTGCATCAGCTCGCATTTTGAGTCGACTTCAATGCGCTAGAAAGGCCATTACTTGGAATGCAGTTAAAGTTCTTGCACATTGGCGGAGTCATGTCGCAATTGCAGAAATTCGGTCCTCATCCAACCCTAATTTGGACGGTTTAAGCTCATGTATAACTATGGTTTATAAACATTTTCCGTATGCAATTTTCAGATATTGTGTTCTCGAATAAATAGTTTGAAAACGTAATTTTCTCCAATTGTTCAGTAAGCAATACGGAAATATAAAGTTTCAAACATCTACTCTAATATTCTTTACAGTAATTATGTATCCTATTCGTAAATGAAATAGGATTTCGTTGCAGTTTCAGAGATCAAATTAGAAAATCCGAAGTTTGGAACAACCAGTTATTTAACCTAATAGTAATACCCAAAAACAGCTCAAAGAATCAATTGATCATTGATCGATGATCGATTAATTAAATGATCAACAGATCAGAATCGATTATTTGAAATAATTGACGTTATCGAACGCACTTTTTAATCAAAATGTTAGTTTAGAAGGGAGAGAAATGTAAAAACCTCAACTTCAAGTATTGTTGCTTGTTTGTATGATATTGAAATTGTTTTTGAAATTTACCACGGAACAATAATTTTAGTAATGATTAAGAGTTCAATTTAAAATTATCAGAACACATATGAAAATTGAGGCCATGAAGCACAGCTTTTTATATTGATTTTCTGTTAGTACATTCCTGTGTAATTTTAAAATAAAATGTTCAATACAGTATTTTTTAAAATTTCTAATAAAATTTAATATACCTACAACCTATCGAAAATGTAATTTCCGGGCGTCGGTGTTAGTGTAAATTCATAGGAGAGAAACTGGACACACGAGTGAACTTCAGTTGTATAATAAAAGTTCAAAAACAAAAAGGTATGCACATTTTGTTATCTTACTAAAGCTCTGTCAGTAAAGCTGTACTTCATTTTGGCGAATTGCTAAAATCCATGCAAATAGATATCGTCTGCCTGCATTTTGCGGAACTACGATATTACAGTTTCATTTGAATTTTAATTCGCCATAGCTTTGAAATAAAGTGTCCTTTCGGCGAAAAGGTCAGCTGTTTAAAGTATTATTGCAACATATATACAACGGGAGTTGTGGGAAGGTTTTTTGCCGTTGCCGGGCTTTCTGCAACACGTAGCAAATACAAATGTTCCTTCAACATGCATGCCGTGGCGTACTGCCAGAGCTTACTGTAAATAATGAACAAATGAGTTACAGGAAGCTCTTTCAAGTAAATCTCAATTAATAATACAAAATGACGTTAAACCGGCTGTATTATTTCAACCAGCAGCGAAACTTAGAAATTCAACTACAATGTTGTCATGTTATTTCAAATTCCGTTCAATACAAAAGGAAAAAAGTAAACACAGAAGTAAACACAGATATTAAGTAATGGTCCATTGGTCTTTTAATAAATGAAATATGTAATGATAGCACTAGACTTAGTAGCCGAAATTTTCTAAAAGGAGACAAAGTTTTAACAGTTACTTAACATCGTCAAATATGGTAAAAGTAAAAATAATGTTAATGAGAGCAAGTATTTAATTATGTAAAATACTCCTAAATTAAATAGGTAATTGTATTTGTTAGTTGTTATTTCTTTACATGAAGATATACTGGTTGAGAAATAGAGAATCTTGGTACAAAGAACCTTAAAAACTAAGCACTACTTGTAACGTGTACGTGCACAACTCCTATCAGCTAGTCGATGTGCGCGCACCGTCCTTACTACCACTGATGAGAACGACATACTATAATTCAGTGTCAAGATCCGCACTTTCGCACACGGTATAGTCGAAAACTTTAAAGTGAAGAGAGCATGCTTTTCTATTTGTGTTAATTTTTTTCTTCCCAAACACTACGTCTACTTATCAGCCCTAAACAAAATTATCAGCAATTGGACCCAGTGCTGTCTCTCCAGCGAAAAAGCACGTAATACCTTAAGCTTTCATTTATTAAAAACAGAAAAAAATATATGATAGATAACATACATCAGGTAGATAATCGCAAAGTATTAGTTGCTATAACGACATATTTTCAGGCCGGACAAAATAAGTTAGTACTAAAGCCGTAACCACGACTACCGGCTAATTATAGCAGATTAGTTTCTCCCTCTGAAAGATCCACAGTTCATACATACACAAGTGTGGCTATTGTATACCGTGTAGCTGTATCGAAATGAAATGGTCTCCATGCTGGTAATGCCACTCTATAATAAAGCGCGTTCTCGCTGAATTGCGGATTGCCTGCAATCATCCATTTCGTTGTTCGAGCGAAAGCAACACTACTGTTGTTTCATTCGGGGAGGTTAATGAATGCGAAGCCTTTTCGTGTGCGGAAGAACCTTTCACCAACAATTTAATCCTGCAGACAGGACGTAATAGTCACTCTATCGCAGAAAGCAAACCGGACTTAGAGAGCTTTATACTTGACTATGTCAATCTCTCGTAGGTTTAATGTCACTGAAATATTTAAAACAAATGGTAAACTATCCTGGGCAAGTAGCAATTGCAGCGGTACTTAACGAACTAATAAAGGACGAAGATCAAAATTCATAAAATTCATGGCTACAGTCTTAAGCCCTATCAGGTTGCAACAATATAGCAGACATCGACAGAACTTGCAAACCTTAAACAATCATTGTCAGCAATTTCATGCTATAAACACCATTCAAGTTTTGTTTAAGATTTCGCCGAATATATTAGGTAGAATGATACCTCTCTCTCTCTAACAATAAAATATTGGTTGTGACCGTATCTCAAAAAGAAATTACGGGATTCAGTTCCGATTTTGGTTACTGGCATGAAAAATTCAATACCCAAATTATTTGTTTTATATTGCCCGCCAACCCTTATCAATCGGTTAGAAGGTCAATTAGTAATGGTATAAATAACCAGATTTCATTCTGATCGGGAATATCGAGCAATCAATCATTGGAAATGAGTCAGAAGTAAATTCGGGTGCTGAAACGGGTTACTTTTTCACATAGCCTAATAGTAATTTTCTTTATTGCTAATTATTAAAGATCGTTTTAATGATTGTAATTTAATTATTTATTTATTTGTAGCTACTAAACTGTTAAACAAATGGTCGACTAAGTTAGTTCAACTTGACTCTAGCTGCTTATTAATTACATTCAATTAAATGGATATCCTTATAAAAAACGCTACTTCTTGACAATAAGGTTGTTTTCATTGTTCTACAATCCTGATTTAGCGCAACTACCTAGAAGAAAAATTTCGAAAATCATTAACTTCTAATTCTGTGTAGATTTATTACTATTATTTCTGTTAACATCATAATTTTAGCGGATTTAACAACAAAGCATAAAATTCTGGTTTAATGTGCCATTTAACAACGAAAGGTAAATAAAACAAGAGTGAGAATAACGTTAAAACAACGTTTTCGTAGTGCAGGCGATGATATTTTGGCAGCGTTAATAGAAGCAGTTCGAAGGCATAGCGACGCGAGGTTCATAATTTAGAAAATGTTGAGCAAAGACCTCTTACTAAAACAATAACGAGCTCATTAAGGTGGCGCACTCAGATAGGTAAGAATAATGAAACGAGTGGAAATGCTGACGTTTGAAATCGTTTTGCACTTCAGATATAGTTAGTGACAAGGATTCATTATTTGATGAAAGTTCAACCCGCGCGCGCTTGCTGGAATAATGGGAGGAGTGGCGGGCGTGGGAATAAATACTGGATGGAAGCAAGTTCAGGCGGGACAATTTATGGGACAGAGTAATTAAAACGAGCAGTTATCGAAAAGCAGAATTGTTTTCGATAAAAAGAAGAAAAAACAGGATATGAGATCCTTCATCTCAGATAAAAAAATTAAGATGATAAAACACTGAATAAAAAAAAAATATAAGAAGAAGCATTCTTAATACAGGAGAAGCTCTTAGGTTTGTCTATAAAACACTAAATTATAACTATCTATTCATCATCATAAGGTCGTCAGTCCTAAGACCTCTACCCTTTCCTATCCTGAGCTAATCTACGCATTTTCCTAAAACTAGAACAATCCATATCCTTAACTATTTGTGAACAGTAATCTCTAATCCTAACTCCCGTTTCTGCATCTAATATGTCCCTGACTAGACCTTCATGTCTGAGGTGTTCTACTAACCTATTTCTTGTTGACTTCCATAGAGTCCTCTATTTTCCGATTCTTTCTAATACGAGGGTGGATTGATAAGTTTCCGGCCTAACCAAGAGATGAC